GACACCAGCCATCCTTCCTATGGCACTTCTCTGTGGGGTTTGGTAATGCATTGAAATGGCCATCAAAACTCACAGATAAAACTCACAGTTATGGAGTTTATTAGGGAAGTAACAGGTTACAATTCAGGATCAGAAACAACTCAGGAGACAGTGCTTAGATAAGCACAGCCTCTTTGCCGTTGTGCCTGCAGACAGGCCTCTCTCTTGCCCTCCGGCCAAGGGCCTCTGCCCTGGTTGGGCAAATGTTACAAAGCTCTTTAGCTCTGCCAATACCATATTTTTACACGAATAATGCATGCTTTTACTTTTTTTCCCCAATCATGTCCTCACCCTGAAGTATTTTTCTAAGCACATTATGCTATTAAAAAAAAAAAATTAGCATAGCGCACTTACAAAAATACCTTGGAGAAAGGGCACACACACACACACACACAAAACACCAAAGTTGCTGCAGTTAAGTCGGATCCGACTCCCAGCGACTCCTCCTTGGGTTTCCAAGGCAGTATCTCTATGGAAGTAGATTGCCCAAACTTCCTTCCAAGGTCTGGCTGGTGGGTTTGAGCCACCAGCCTTCTGGTTAGCAGTTAAATGCCTTAGGCTCTATGCTAGTCACAGTTGGCCAAAAACAACAAGAACCATAATACACGTTATTTGAGTAAAAATACAGTAAGTGCCTAGAGGCACCCCACTCCAACAGTAAGGCTTGGCCCTAAGGTTCTCAGATCTCTCGCTCCATGGGTGTGCAAGCCTAGTGATGCCAAAAAGTGCCTAGAGGCATGCAACTCTGCCAGGAGACTCCTGTCCCAAGGCATTCGGCTCTCTTGATCCCTGGGTAGGCATACCCACTGGATCTACCTTGCTCTGTGGGCCAGGAAGCCCACTGCATTGTCTCATGCTGGTCTCCTGATTTTGCTGCCGCCGTTCCTATGCCACTGCTGCTTGCTGTCCTGTGTTGTCTCTGTTGTTACAGCTCTCTATCTCCTGGGTTTAGGAGGTTTTCAGCACAGGGACCCTGGATCCAAAAGAATCCCTTTGCTCCCGACTCTTCTTAGTGGTAGTAAGTTACCCTTCGCATCTCTGGCATGGCTCATTATAAGCCTAGTGGGATGTCAAAACTGACTAATTCCCTTGTGGTAGTTTGGTATGTGTGTCAACTTGGCTAGGCTTGGTTGAGTGGTTGGGCAGCTGGTGGTAGTTAATCCCCATGAGGAGACTGGCAATCAACTCCATAGTGGGATCTACCATAAGCAGCTGGGTAGCTGCCCTTGGGTATGTGGTCTGCTTCCTGTATATAAGGAGAAGCCTTTGGGAATGGTCTCTAGGCTGTGGCACGCTTGGACCCTGCAGGTAACCGTGTCATTGCTCAGCAGCCTGCTATGCTCTGTCGACCTTGGGACTTACTATGGACTTAAGTTAATGGCCTGCCGTGTGGTTTGGTAACATTGGGACTGTGCCTTTTTACTTGTCAACCTTGGGACTTCTCAGCCTCAGCAGCCAGCAGCTGTCTGAGTGAAGAAAAACCTCTAGCTCCAGTGGGCTGGGAGCAGGAGGCAGAGCTGGACCCCAAAGTTGAGGGGCTTTCACCCCTACAGCCTGGCACTCTGAACTTGGACTTAAAGCCTCCAAATTGTGAGAATAAACTCCTGTTTGTTAAGGCCATCCCATTTGTGGTATATTTCTGTCAGAGCAACACTAGGTAACCAGAACACCCCTCGCTAGGGTTCCATACAACTCATTTCCATGGTCCCACCTCAAGAAGGCTACCTTGCACCTTATTTGCATTATTAGCAAGCTGCCCAATCCCCTTGGCGGGCCAGAAGCACCTTATTTACAGGTTGTTAATGTTGTGAGGTGCCATTGAGTCCATTTCAAGTCACAGCAACCCTATGTACAACAGAACAAAATACTGCCTGATTCTTTGCACCACCCTCACAACTACTGCCACACTTGAGACCATCATCACAGCCATTGTGTCAATTCATCTAATTGAGAGTCTTCCCTTTCACCATTGACCCTCTATTTTATCCAGATTATATCCTTCTCCAGGGATTGGTTCCTTCTGATAACATAGCCAAAGTATGAGAGACAAAGTCTAGCCATTATTGCTACTAAGGTGCATTCTGGCTTACTGTCTCCAAGACAGATTTGTTCATTCTTCTAGCAGTCCATGGTACATTCAATATTCTTCACCAATACCAGGTAGCTGTCCTGGCCAGGTAGCTGTCTTCCAAATTTCTTGGCTTAAATGAGTGAGTGCCTTCCACTGTGTCTGTTTGTTGAAACATCTCAGTGGGTATTCTGTCAATTCCTGGAGCCTTGTTTTTTGCCAGTTCCTTCAGTGCAGCTTGACTTTCTTCCATCAGTACCATTGGTTCTTGAACATACACTACTTCTTGAAATAGTTGTCAACCAATTCTTTCTGGTACAATGACTGTATTCCTTTCATTTTCTTTTGATGCTTCCTGCATATTTTGTCCATGGAAGCCTTATTGCAACTCCAGGCTTGAAATTTTTCTTCAGTTCTTTCCGCTTCAGAAATGGCAATAGTGCTCTTCCTCTTTGATTTTCCAACTCCAGGTCTCTGCACATTTCATTATAGTACTTTATTTTGTCCTTATTTACATAGTCCCACCCAATCATTTGGTGGGAATTACAAGACCATGGCAAGAAAGGTCATATATAAAACTGATACATCACACCACATGGTCCTTAAGAAAAAAACTTCTCTCAACGATGTGCAGAGAAAAATGTCTCTCATTTCTTCTACATGTGATTGCTCCAATTTCCAAAACACAGAAACTGGGGGTATAAGGAAACAGTTATGATCACATACTACTGGTAGGAGTATAAAATGGTACAGCCTTTATAAAAAGATGTGGTAAAGTTACAATGCACACACTCTTTGCCTTTCACTTCTTATAATATATCCCTACATATAGGTATTTGTTGCAGTACTCTTTCATAATAGCATAAAACTCAGAATAAACTAAATATTCAACAACAGAAGACTGGTTAAACAAATCATCATACATCCATACAGTAGAATACTATGCAGTTGCTTGAAAAAAACAAGGGAGCTGTTTACGTACTGATAAAGACTAGCCTTAAAGATGTGTTAAGAGAAAAATGCAAGGTGCAGAATGGCATGTATGATATGCTACCATTTGTTTACAAAAATGTAAGAACAACATATACATGTATATTATATATATACATGCATAGACTCTCTCTGGAAGGATGTACAGTGAAGTACTTAAGGATGTACAGTGAAGTACTTTTTTTTTTTTAATTTTATTGTGATTTGGGTGAAAGTTTACAGAAGATATTCACTTTCCATACAGCAGTTCATACACATTTTGTTTCATGATACTGACTTTAATTCCCCACAATGGAACAGCTTTCCTCCCACTTCCTCCCCGTAGTTAACCTTTTCCCTCTGTCCTTCCCTCTCACGCACTCCCACCCCCGAACTGTCTCCCTGTGCACACACTGCCCTTCTGTTCTCCCACGATGGATCACTCCAAGGAGCGTATCTACCTGATGTTGATGTTCACCCCTTATGCTGGTCTTTTATTTGGCTGGAAGCCACAGGAGTAAGTTCAGTTGCAGACCTGAAGGGTAACTAGGGGCCACAGTCTCAGGGGTCTCATCAGGCTCTATCAGACCAACAAACCTGGTCTTTTTTTTTTTTTTCCCCTGATTTTGAGTTTTGTTCCACATTGTTCTCCTACTCTATCCAGGATCTTCTGTACCAACCTCCCTCCAAGTGGCTGACAGTGGTAGCCGTCTACCATCTAGTTCTTCTGGTCTCATGGACATACAGGCTAAGGACTGCATGGTCTACTAGTTGCTTGGACTAACTGTTTCTACACATCTTTGCTTTTCTTCATTCTTCTTTGCTCTGGATGAGGAAAGACCCATCATTGCATCTAGATGGCTGCCTGTAAGCTTTTAAGACCCCAATCCCTACTCACCAAAGTAGGATGTAGAAAGGTGTTTTTCTATAGTATGTTATGGCAATTGAGTATGACGTCCCCTGCAACCATGGTCCCAAGCTCATAGGTCCAACTACTCGCTCCCTCTGGGTAGCTGGCTGTGGCCAAGAAGCCACCACAACCTTGCCCCTTGTCAGCTCTACTATATACCTGGACATTCTTAAGAGTGCATACAAATATGCATGTAGAAACATCATCTGGCAATCCTATGCATGGTCATGGGCATACTCCCCCCTGCCCACACATATTTGATCATTCAGCCTGTTCACCCATCTATCCCCTCGTAGATCAGTGCTTGCCATCACTGACAAAACAGTACTGTTCATGCAAAAGGATTAATCTTTTGTTGTCTGTACCTCTCATGTCTCTCTGTCTTCCTCTTCCTTCCTCAGTGCCACTGTGTTGATCACTCATTTTTGGTACATTGCCCTTCCATAGTGCCTAACGCATTTGACTGCTAACCAGAAGGCTGGTGGGTTTGAACCTCAGAAGGAAGGCTGGGCAATCTATTTCTGTACTGATACTGCCTCAGAAACCCAAGGGAGGGGTCACTATGAGTCAGATCAGACTTGACGGCAGCATGTTTGGTTTTGGTTTGGTGCCCTTCCCTTCACCCAAATCAATACCTGTTCTCTACCTATCCAGCAGTGTTCCTTCCACTCCCTTCCCACCCCTGGTAACTAACAAAGAAAGCTTCCTTCCTTGACTTCCTTCCTTTCCTTGATTTATTATAAAAGTGAACTAATGTACTATTTTTCCTTCTGTGATAAAGAGATAGAAACAACCTAAGTGTCCATCAACAGAAGAATGGATAACCAAACTACGGTACATACGCACAATAGAATACTATGCAATGCTAAAGAATAATGAAGAATCTGTAAAACACTAAATAATGTGGATGACTTGGAGGACATTATGCTAAGGGAAATAAGTCAATCACAGAAGCACTTCTTTTGAGGGCATATATGACTTTACATTTTAGGGAACATTTATTCTGGTTCTTACCTTACAGCAGTGTGAGAAGATCTGACAGATGTACTCCTGGGTGTAGCGAGACCTGCTAAGCAGTGCCATGAGGTGTGGTATTACTGTGGCATCCTGGAGTAGAAGGTGAAGAGAGCACAGCAATAGGACCTTAGGCATCACAAGTACACTCAAGAAAATATTTCCACAAGCAGGTTCGTAGTCAAGCCTCTTATCTTAACAGTGAATCAAGTCTCTTTAAGGAATATAGCAAAATAAAAGTAATATGGCCATCAAAACTGTCTAAGCACAGGGCAAGGAAAAGGGTTTCTATAATCATCCATGACAACTTCCACTTCTTATAAAATGTCCCTACATATTTGTTGCAGCACTATTTTGTAATAGTGAACAAATGTTCACTTTCACACCCATAAACAGTCTCTATCCCCACAATACAACTAAATTCTTTCAATATGATTCTTCACAGAAATCCATTTTGAAACTGAAAGGTGAGAGAACTAATAAGACATACAATAATTAATAGCTTAAAGGAGGAATTACTGTATAAAAATAAACCATGGCAATTTGGACTCTGAGATGTATGGTAAGTATGGTAGCATGGTGCCTAAGGCACTTGACTGTTAATCAGAAAGCTGGTGGTTCAAACCCACCACTCACTCCTCAGAAGGAAGATTGGGCAATCTACTTCCATGGTGATACTGCGTCAGGACCCAAGGAGTCGGTCTGACTTGATGGCACATAACAACAACAATCTTTCATAATGACAGTAGTTTTATAATGATAGTAGCTATGTTCAATCTGCACAAGATGGTTTATATGATTAGTATCTTCTCTCAGCCCACTCTGCCTATTACTGACACTTAGCAACACATAGGATGGTACAGGACGAGAGACAAGCGTCAGCCCATTCTGCTGCAGGGCTCTGCAGTAATTTCCCTTTATTTAGAAAGTAAAAGGAATTGAAAGTTGAAAGGGGAATTTGGCCTAAAGCACAAATGGAAATGGAGACTTGGCTCAAGCCTTCCAGGTAATTTAACCAGGTAAGTTAGTCCTACAGCTGTTTCTGAAGTATGAACGTGCAGACAAATTCCCAGAGACCTTCTGAATGTAGAAATTCTGTTTCAGTAGGTCTGAGGTTAGAGCCTGCATTCTAATTAGCTCTCAGATGAGGCTGCTGCTGCTAGTTCACAGCCTTTATTCTGAGAATTCTCACAATAGATGACAGAGGGCTAGGAAGGAAACACTAGAATATCGTTGTTAGAATAAACAAGATTTGAGGCCACCCCTCAGAAGGAAGGTTAGTCAATCTACTTCTGTAGTGATACCGCTTCGGAAACCTAAAGAGGGGTCACTAAGTGTTAGATCTGACTCCCTGGCGGTGCGTTTGGTGTTTTTGTTTGGTAAAAACAAAAGAATGTCCAGGATATATAACAGGTAAGTAGGAAAATGAGAAGGCTGTCAATTTCCTATAAGTAGAACCTCTTCCACTTGCTTGTGTGTATAATCCTCTATGTTGCCACAAGCAGTTTAAAAATAAAATGAAAAACTTAGAAAATATCTGAGAAAGCCACATACTTATTTCTTAAGAAAGGATAATAGGAGACTGGGGAGAAGGGAAACAGTGGGTTCATTGGCAGATGACAGGAAAGCAGTTAGTAGCTAAGACAGAACAAGCAAATCAGGAGGTAAATAAGAAAACTTCTATTAGGCTCTGAAAGCTATTGCCACCTCCCTCCTTTCTTCCACTGCCCTCCCGTCCCTCTTTTTCTGCTCAGCTAAACAGTCTCCATCCCATTTCTTCACAACTGCCTCCTTTCTGACAACTGTGCTAGATAGCTATAAAACATAGGAAAAGTTATACAATTTGCCCAAAGTCACCCATCTGATAAACAGAATTTCAAATCAGAAATCCTGCCCTCCTCTGATTAAACTATCCTGGCTCTAGTTTAGTGCTTGAGTTGCTGAAAGAGCTGGCCTCTATACAATTCAACTCACAGAGATCAGTTAATTATGCTGAAATACTGCTCTCTGTCATTGGTCCCCCATCCAGCACCTTTCATGGATTGTCCACCACTCTGTCTCTCCACCACTCATCTGCCAGTTTGTCACACTGTGGTCATTTGTGTGCTGCTGTGATGATGGAAGCTATGCCACTGGTATTTCAAATACCAGCAGGGTCACCCAAGGTGGACAGGTCCAATGGCACTTTCAGACTAAGAGACTAGGAAGAAGAACATGGCCAGGTTCCCTTCTGAAACAACTGGCCACCAAGAACCTTATGAGTAGCAGGGAAATATGTCTGATGTAATGATGGAAGATGAGCCCCTCAGGTTGGAAGGCACTCAAAATACTACTGGGGAAGAGCTACCTCCTTAAAGCAGAATCAACCTTCATGGCATACGTGGAGTAATGCTCTTGGGACCTTCATTTACTGATGTGGCATGACTCAAAATAAGAAACAGCTACAAACATCCATAAATAATCAGAATGTGGAATGTACAATACATGAACCTAAGAAAACTGGGAGTCATAAAATATTAAATGGACCATATGAAGATTGATATACTAAGCTTTAGTGAGCTGAAATGGACTATATTGGCCATTTTGAATTGGACAATCATATAGTCTACTATGTTAACAAATGACAAATTGAGGAGGAATGGTGTCATATTCATCGTCAAAAAGAATATTTCACTCTGAAGACTAAGTCATGGTATTTTTAGTAGCCTCATATGCATGTAAGAGCTGGCCAATGAATGGAGAAGACTACAGAACTGATGCATCTGAATTGTGTTGGCGAAGAATATTTAATGAACCATGTACTACTGTTAGAAGAAAAAACAAATCTGTCTTAGAGGAAGTACAGCTGGAACGCTCCTTAGAAGCAAGAGTGGCCAGACTTCATCTCTTGTACTTTGGTCATACTATGAGAACAGACAAATCTCAGGAGATGGATATCATGCTTGGTAAAGTAGAGGGGTCAGCAAAAAAGGGGAAGACCTTCAGTGAGATAGACTGACATGGTGGCTGTGATGATGGGCTCAAGCATGGAGATGACTGTGAGGATGGTGCAGGACTGGACAGTGTTCCATTCTGCCGTACAGAGGGTCACCAGGAGTGGGAACCAATTCGCCAGCATCTAACAATAACAACTACTACTACTGTCTCTGAGGTGTAAGTCTTTAAGGCATAAAATTGAGCTGTTCCCTAATTTAGACTCTCCTGAATGTGAAAGTCACTTAACTTCCCTAGGTCTTAATTCTTCCCATGTATTAAAAAAAAGTTAACTTGGCCTAGACCAGAATTTTCCAAATTATGCACCATGACCCATTAGGAGGTCAAGATATCAGTTGAGAGTGAGGAGGAAGAACTTAACGCAGCTGGCCAGGCTCAATTTCTCCCCCTATCATTGGGTAGGATTGAGGATGGGGGAGAAGCTCCTAGGGTGAAGGAAAGAAGGCAGGTGCTTTAGTTTAATCTTTTCTAAACATGACAAAAGGACCTCAGGGAAAATAGACCAATGATATTTACTACAAGGACAGTTCTTCTCTATGGAATGCTTTGACAGGATGTCCTGTTTCAAGATTCTTTACAGTGTATCAGTGGTTCTTTGAACCAGCAGCATCTGAGTCACCCAGAAAATCTGTTACCAAACCAAACCAAACTCACTGCTGTCGAGTCAGATCCGACTCATAGCGACCCCTCCTTGGGTTTCCAAGATGGTATCACTATGGAAGTACATTGCCCAACCTTTCATCCGAGGAGTAGCTGGTGGGTTTGAACCGCCAGCCTTCTGGTTCACAGTCAAATGCCTTAGGCACTACACCACCAGAGCTAGAAATGCAAATCCTCAGGACCCACCTTGACTTGCTGGATCAGAAACTGTGGAGGCAGCACCCAACAATCTGTGTTTTATCAAGCTCCCTCAGGTAAGTCTGGTATATGCTCAAGTTTGAGAACCACTGCAGTAAACAATCTATGGAGTTATGAGGCATGACTCTTTGAAGAATGTCACATACACTATATAAATCTCTGAGGTATAAAATCAAGATGTATCATAATTTAGACATCCTCTGCTGTGTGAGGTGACCTTGTACACTTACAGGCCACTTACGGTATCATTTCTGAGCCAGAGGAGTATGTGTCTGATATGCAAGGAAGGACTAGGAAACTGTGAAATGTCCCCTCTCCCCACTTGCTCTGCCTATGTCTCTTGATTGCTTACATTCTTGAAATATTAGCAAAGCTTGATTCTGGATAAGCTCTCTGATTCAAGTGTGTTTGGTTTGACAATCTGATTCTTTGTGTTAGCTCAGAGAATCACATTTTTTATTAAAAAAAAAAAAAATGAAAACAGAATAGAAATCAGAGTACATGATATTTATGAAAATTGTTTTGTGAAACTTGTTTCAGGATTCATATATACACACATAAATTTACACATGTGCATAGTGTGGCAATGTAAAATCTATTTCTTAATGTGGGTTATGGACAAAAGTGTTTTAAAAAAAAAAATTTGGCCTGGATAATTTTAAGAAAGTCCCACGTTCATTACAACCATTACGGAAAATAGTATGGCACTTCCTTAAAAAAATTAGAAATAGCTTATGATATATCCTAGAGGTTTAATAAGAGAGACATGTGCAGTTATATTCACTGCAGCACTATTCACAATAGCAAAAAAATGGAAACAGCCTAAGTGCCTTTCAATGGATGAACAGGTAAGCAAACTATGGTACACACACATAATGGAATACTATGCAACCACACAGAACAATGATGAATCTGTGAAACATATTATAATGTGGATGAATCTAGAAGACATAATGCTAAGTGAAATAAGTCAAACAGATAGGGACAAATATTGTATGATCCCATTTTTATAAGAAAATAAGTATAGAGATAGATAGATATAAATAAAAATACAGATATAGATATAAATACAGACAGACACACACACATATATATACACAGAAACCAATGTTCATTTGTGGTCAGGGATGGGTGGGGAAAGGGTGAGTCCCTAGTAGCACTTCACGTAATGCACAGAGTTGGACCAAAGTAAACAATTCTACAGTGGAAAAAAAAAAGTCCCATGTAATTGAGAGATAATTAATCCTTGAGGCTTTTGAAGATCACTGAATGATTTTTAAGATCTTTGGACTCTCTCAGACCCATCCTCTGATTCCAGCCTGTCAAGTAAGTCTCTTGCTAGCAGGTGCTAGTTCACATCTCCAGTGGAAAACTAACATTGATGCTCTTCCCCCTTAGACTAAGTATTTGGCCTACTGTCCTGCATATTCTCTCTCATACAGAACCTTCCTAGTCTCTGAATCTTATGTATTATTCAAGACCCAAGTCAAATTCTAGCTTCTCCATAAAGTCTACTCTGCTAGACTTTAACCTAAAGTGAGCTGAGCTCCCCACCACTCACTTAGCATCAAATACACTACCTTAATTTGTATACATAGAGATAAAAATGGGATTTTTTTTTAACAGTTCGTAAATTCCTCAGAGTCTAAGACTTTATCTTTTACTTCTTTATATAGCCTACCACATTTGATATTTGCAAATAAATAATAACTCAAGTATTTCTTGATGGCTTTCCATAACATAACATAATTATGTTGCATTCTGAGATGCCAAGTAAATTAGGTATGATGTTAGTGAAACATATGATGACATTTATAACTCACTGTGTATAGGAGCTCCTCAGGAGTGACAGGGCTGGTGAAGATGGTACGCAAGCATCGAAGGCAAGCTTCAATGAACTTCAGGTCTGGAGACAGTAGTCCTATTAACAGAAACCAGATCTGGCACTCAGTGTTTCAACTAGAATTTAAAATAATGCAAACCGATTCTAATCTTTACTCGTACAAAATAGCTTTCTTACGTACCTTGTAGTAAGGCAGGGATAATATGGCAGTCCAGTAGAGACTTGACATTGTTTTCAGTACCCATAGCAAGACTTCCCAGTACCACTGCACATTCAGTTTTCAGCTCTGTACTTGAGGTTTCTTGCTGAAGTAAGTATAACAATCTAAAAAGAAGGAATTTGATAAACAGTAGAGACTAAAAACCTTAAAAATAAATTGGCTAAATGTCCTATGACAGAAGAAAAGTTATCGATACATCCCATATACCACTTAAGATGTGGGTGACAAAGCTTATGTGAATCCCTTTAGGAAATGGCCACTACTTTATATTAGCTGCTAATCCAATAAAGGAACTGAAAACAAAATTTTAGAAGAGATTTCTTTTTTCACTTTGAACAAAAGAACTATCTTGTAATCTCAATTTAGCAAAGCTGTAAATCTGAAAGTTGCCCACAAGAGGTTTTTGTCAAAATAGTAGAACCATAATCCATGTCATCAGCCATTTCCAAGTAGGTCTCTTCAGAATATAAAGATTCCCAATGTCAAGAACTGTTGGATCTTATATTCAGTCTAGAAATGGGACTCTGAAGATCTAAAGCAGCAGAACAGAGATCTGAGAGGTGTAGCCTCGAGGGATTATTCAGAGCCTTGTGCTGCTTGCTCCTCAGGCAAGGGAAGTTCCTCTTTCCCTAATTTTCCATTTGGAGAATCAGGAGATCCTCCTATTTTCACTCCAGCTCAGCTTGCCAAACAATGACTCCCCAAACCCTAGCCCTCTACCTCTTACAACTATCTCCCTATGTTCTCAGGTAGATCCCTCAGGCTCCCTAAAGCATTACACCTACTCCTCACTTATCAAGTATCTCATTTGCTGACATTTTGCATTTATGACAATACTTAAAAATCTACTATCTGCTATTTTGCACAATATGTACATTTGGCAGTAACAAATGCTGAGGTGTGAGGTGACAGTAATGCTAGCTCTGATGGTTAAGGTTATGAATCAACTTGGCTGGGCCATGATTTTCAGTGGTTTGGCAGTTAAGTAATGATACAATCCTCCAATTCGTGATGGGATGTGGTCATCCTCCATTTTCACTTAGCACCAATTTTTACCTAACAACCTGGTCTTTGGAACCTAACCATACTGATAAATGAGGAGCAGGTATATTTATATATACCAAACACTAATCCTTTAAGATTTTCAATCGCCTCTTATGCATGTGAGAGCTGGACAATGAGTAAGGAAGACTGAAGAAGAGTTATGTCTTTGAGTTGTGATGTTGGAGAAGAATGGCAAGAGTACCATGGACTGCTAGAAGGACTAACAAATCTGTTCTGGAGGAAGTGTAGCTGGAATGCTCCTTGGAAGCGAGAATGACCAGACTTCATCTCACCTAATTTGGTCATGCTGTCAGAAGGGACCATTCCTGGAGAAGGATATCATGCTTGGCAGGGTGGAGGGTCAGTAAAAAAGAGGAAGGCCCTCAACAAGGTGGAATGACACAGTGGCTGCAATGACGGGTTCAAGTACAGCAAAGATCGTGAGGCTGGCATAGGACTGGGCAGTGTTGCATTCTACTGTGCATAGGGTTACTATGAGTAGAAGATGACTTGACAACACCTAACAACAACAATCCCCTAAGAAAGGTTACTGAGAGTTTTATGGTCACTAAAGTCTATATTTGTAGTCAGTGATGTTAAAAACACTACAACCATTAATCCTATATCAAATATAGAAAATAAGAAATAGAGAAGAGAAGAAACCAAAACATTAAAAAAATTTGTGTGAAAAATTTACAGTAAGTATACACAAAACTTAGTTCTGAGTAGCAACAGCAAAGAGGAAATCACCTGCCAGAAGAAAGCTTACTAGGTAGGTCATCAGAAGAAATAAAAAAGCCACAGTTTATCTTTTTTTTTTTTTTAGTTCAAAAAAGAACTTGAGAAATCCTACGAAATCATTACCCAATCAAACAGTAACTGCCAGGGCTCGGAGAGACTGGAGAAGAGAGTCTCAGGCTGATGTGCACAGCTTATCTACCCAAAATACCCTTTCACTGCAAGGTCAGTGATCTTCCTAATTCCCAAAATATAAAGTATTCACTTTATACTCTATCCTCTGGCAATTTACTATTTTTAAGGACTTCAAAGTATTATTTTTTAAAATTAAAAGACTTAAAAAATAAAATAGACAATACAGGAAAAATACAGGTCTTATAGTCGAGAAACTTTGTATAAATGGTAGAAAAGGGGATGGTGACAGCAAACATACCTTGGAACAGCTCCTAAAACAATGAGGTTGGCTTTCTGCTTGTTGTTTCCAATTACAGCATTTTTCATGTCTCTGAATTCAGAGGAAAAGAAAAGAATAAAGAGTATGTTGAAATATTACAGAAAAATAAAAATCAATTTCACTTTATTTTGCAACATCTTGGGTTGGCAAGCATCAAAGCTAATGACAAAGTGAAAGCAGAGACCTTTTGTACCTGGAGTACCAAAGAGAAGGGATGGGTATTAAGTAACCATGGGGGCTAAGCAACAGGGGGGTAGCAGAGTGGAGAGGAAGCGGGAAACATCCTGAGTACCGGCAAAAGACTTCCACTACAAAGAAAATGTAGTTCTTTTGAAAAGTCTACCAGTCCTTTGAATATAAAGGAATATAGACCACCTGCTCACTCCCAGCTCTGGGAGCAAGAGGTACAAGCAATCAGCCCACAGAACATAATTGACCTTGTTTCAGGGACCACAGCTTTGTTCCCTTTTTTTGGACTTTTTATTATTATTATTATTCCATTTAATCACTTTCATTGTCTTATTAAGAAGTCCCAATGGCACAGTGTTTAAGTGTTCAGCTGCTAACCAAAAGGTAAGTGGTTCAAATCTACCAGTCACTCTGCAGGAGTCAAATGAGACAGTCTGATTCTATAAAGATTTATAGCCTTGGAAACCCTATGGAGCAGTTCTACTCTGTCCTAAAGGGCCACAATTAGTTGGCATTGACTCAATAGCAATGGGGTTGGGTTTGGTACTACTGTCTTATTAACTGTACCTCTTTGGGTTTTGTTTTACTGTTTGTTGTTCACTGGTTGCTTTAGAATTTCCAGAGTGCATTTTTTCATTTATCCCAATCTTCAAGTAGAATTATCCCATTTCACTGAACATTAAGAGCCTTACAAGAGAATATTTCCATTTCCCCATCCATTCTTTGTGTTTTTTGTGCTGCTGTTGTTACACATTTTAACTGAAATAAATTAGAAACAACATAATATACTGTTACTGCTTTTGCTGAAGCAGCCAATATTTTTCTGAGGAGACTAAAAGGGAAGAAATATATTTTGTATTTATCACATATTCCCCAGTATCTTTTACTCTCCATACACATAGATCTTTACTTCATCAGGAGCAAGGCCTTATTCCACACTAAGGGGACCTCTATCAATGAGGCTCATAAACGTGTGGGTGACCCAACTGATATCTAGAGAAAAATATCAATGGATTAAAATAAACCCAGTACTACTAATAAATGCTTCAAAAATATTTACCAGTACTGCTGTCTTAATACAGAACAATAGAACACTACTGGTTCTACATAGCAGTGGGAGCCCTGATGTTACAGTGGTTTAGCAATGGGCAGCTAACCAAAAGGTCAGCAGTTCGAACCCACTAGTCACTCCACGAGAGAAAGGTGAGGTGATCTGCTTTCATAAATATTTACAGCCTTGGCAATCCTATGTAGACATTTCTGTTCTGTTCTACAGGGTCACTATGACTCTAAATCAACTCAACAGCAGTAGGTTTGGTTTTCGTTTGGTTTAGGGGCATTTCAGGAGTTGGTGAGAGTATTTGGAAATTTCTGGCCATGGTTTTACAAATGGACAGAAAGCATTTATTTTTTTTTTAGTTTAAAAAAGAACTGAATTTTTCAGAATTGTAATTTGCCCTGCATACTTTTTATCAAAAGCAACTTATTTTAGAAAATCCTCTCACCAACAAAGTGTACTATGGTATTTGAGGTGTCAATACCACATACCTACACTGGTCCATTTACAGCTCTTGATTCGTACTACTTCATTAAGCTTTCTGGTGTAATCGTGCCCAAGCAATTGATAATACTGAAATACTATCAATTATTTTCTTTTTGTTTCTCCTTTATACTATAGGCCAGAAGGCATTATGTTATTTTGGAATTATGTATGTAAGTAGGTTGTATTACTATGAATTTAATTTCAGGATAGGACAAAGAGTGCTACAACATTTTAACAAGGGGAAGTTAGGTCTGATAGTGTTAAGACCACTGCAATAAAGCTTCAAAGTTTTAAGCTCACATATTTTTTTCATATCCCAAAATATCCTCCCAAATATACTCATCCAGTATCTCCTTTGACTTTCTCTCTTTTAGATGACAGAGCTCTATAACGTATAGAAATGTTTTGCCCCTTAAGAGTTGTAATCCTTAAAAAGTTCTACAGTTGGCAAAAGCACAATCTTGTAGAAAACAGAAAATTGGGAAAAACAAAGAGTTATTTTAAAAAACCAACACATGATTGTTATAGTCAATATATGTTTCTAATACCAACGGGATTCACTGACATTAAAAACTGGTGATAATTAACCCACCTCCTCAATCACTTTCTTCAATTACTGCAGAATAAAAATTTTCCCCACAAGTTTCTGAGTAGCATTTTCTCAAATCTTGAGTCAAACACTCTAAAAGTGCCTGTTTTTTTCTGCCATTTATCTCATTGCCCAATGGTAGGTCTTTTTTTCTGGTCCTGATCTATCCCTCTTTCTAAACTACCCCTCAGATCCTCCAATAGTCTTTTGTTTATGGAGACTAAGCTCTAGTGGTATAGTGCTTAATACATCTAGTTGTTAACCAAAAGCTTGGTGGTTCAAGCCCACCAGTGCTCAGCAGAAGAAAAATGAGACAGGCCGCTTCCATAAAGACTTACAACCTTAGAAACCCCATGGGGATCTCTATGATTCAGAATCAGCTCAATTGCAGTGAGTTTGGTGGTGGTGGGTTGTTTTCTTTCTTTTTTTAAACTGACTGAAGTTTACTGAGGTTTTCAGCAAGTTCCAATACATGATTATAAAATTATGTGATACCAAAGCCCTAGTTAGCAAAGAATTAGTTGATGAAAGATGTTTTGTGCATGTAGGATGTCAACTGTTTTCTTCTTAAAGGCTCATTTCCTAATCATCAGCTCTAACCTAGTAGTATGTCATTTACTTTCCTCATCTTTCCTCCTCTTAATATGCAACACTTCTGTTCTGCCTGTACTAATGCAGCCTGTGCACTTGTCCATCCACTATCTGTTGAGAGCCTATTCTGTGCCAGGTGCCATTCTGGGTGCTGTATCTTAGAAATCTCAACCCTTACATCTTCCCATCCTTCCTAACCAAACCAAACCAAACTCATTGCTGTCGAGTTGATGTCGACTCATAGTGACCCCTCCTTGGGTTTCCAAGGCAGTATCACTACAGGAGTAGATTGCCCAACCTTCCTTCCAAAAGCAAAGAGAAATAAGGCATGTCTCTGTATTACTTTCTGAACCCATTAAGACGTCTGAAACTATGCCAAAGTCAATGTTTTTACAGACCAAAACAAACAAAAAGTTTTTTTTAACAATTTACAAAAGAACATGAAGGAGGTAGCCAATAGCTATATATAGTGAATATTGATTAGAGAGAATACAATTAACAAAAACGACTAATATGTAAAGGAAAAAAATCTTGTTATGGCTTTAATAAGTAAATAACTAAATATATTTATGCTAGAAAAATATATTAACATCCAACAAATAAATTCTACTCAGGGGTTATCATTTAGGGATGCTAACTGATCATTTCTGTAAGAGTTAATACCAAAAGAGACAATTAGTTATCACAGATACTCATCTTTAGCAGTCTAATTCCTGAACTAAAGGTTCACTTTCTGAAACAGCAGGGACTCAATATCCGACCAGGCAGATGAAGCTTCTTTCAGTTCTTAGCGTAGCTAGTCTCTCTCTCCCATCGCCTTATTCCCTCCCTCAGACTTTCCTCCAGCTAACTTTACTCTTACTTTAGGTCTACGCTTAGATACTTCATCCAGGAAGTATTCCCTACCCTGGCCTCCTAGGTGCTCTTTATCATAGCACAGAAGTTCTATCTGCCCTGGAAAATTCAGAGAGGTTACTATCAATAGATCATTAAGGGAAGTGATTCTAGAAAACTCACCACTTGGAAATCCATTATTTTTGGAATGTGCAAACTCGCAAGTATCACCCAAGATGGGAGCAACAACGAAACTATGCAACATTTACATATTACCTTAAAAGTTTATAAAGCATTCTAAATCCATTATTTTACTAAATTTTCACCATAATTTGAGTAATATTAACCCCATTTTACAGATGAGGATGCTACAACACAGATTAAGCTTCTTTCAGAATCCCATATTAAATCAGAGTCAGTCTCCATGCAGGTCTTTCATGCCAAGTGTTTTTTCCATTACCTCCAGCACATTAAGTCTTTACAACTAAATGATTGAAAAGACAAAAGAATTTGGTAAAATATATTTCCTTTTTCCTCCTGTGTTTCAATTTTACATTTTTATAAACAATAAAGGCTTTTCTAATTTTTAGTCAAAAACATCCTTTCCCTAATAGATCAAAGAAAAGTAATCTCACACTTTTAATGTTGGAAAAAATGTCCTACTGAAATTCAACAATTAGTTTTTGAACTCAGCAATGTGCTAGGCTCTGCGAAGGACACAAAAGCATCATGCAATGAGACAACTAATATAAAGAGTTTACAATTTCCTTGGGAAGACAAAAATATCACAATGTAAGACAGTGTTATATTATAAAATAAGTACTTAAACGGTTGATGTTAAAGAAGCGTAACGGGTTTTAAGGCAATGGTAGGAACTAAGATGAACCTTAGAAACGGTCAGGATTTGGCTAAGTGGTTGGGAAGGGTAAAAGGAAAAACCATTCATAGAAGACCATATTAGAAATGGATATGGCATGTTTCTGGGGCAGTAACAGGAGCCTGGATCAAAAGGAAGGATAACTTCAGGATAGAACAGAACACAAAATTAGAAAAGTGGTAAGGAGAAGAGGCAAACTAAAAGGGATGGATTAAGGAGCAATCTTGTTTCTGATCAGAGAAAAGACATAAAATAAGCAGGGGTTAAGGAAGATAAATTGAATGTGGAATGGATTGGAATTTAGATAATACAAGAATAAGAGGGGCAATAAACTGACTGATGCCCCTTCTTTGTGGCCCCAAGATCTTCTGTGCTTATCACTAACATGCATTCTCTAATCAGACTATAGCAGACTGTCTCTTTAGTAA